AAACAAGTCCAGTATTTTATTGTCTCTGGTGTGGCAGGTGACATACTGGGTGAAGGTAGACAGTGTTGAGGATGGAGAAGAATGGTTAAAGTCCCCAGAGATCAGGAGGAGGGCCTGTGGGTGCTGGGTCAGAATCCTGCTCACAGCTGAGTGCAGGACGTCACAGGCAGCATCAGCGTTAGCAGACGGAGGAACGTACGCAGCTATCGCGATAGCATGCGAGAATTCACGTGGCAAATAGTATGGCCTCATGCTAATGGCTAACAGTTCAATGTCCTTACAGCAGATTTGCTCTTTAATAGAGATGTGTCCAGAATTACACCATCTATCATTCACAAATACTGCCAGTCCTCCTCCTTTCCTCTTACCGCTCTCCGCTGTCCTGTCCGCCCGTACGAGGTGAAAGCCATCCAGAGAGACGAGTGTATCCGGAGTTAGCGTAGTTAGCCAGGTCTCCGTAAACAGCATGACGCTACACTCACGGAATTCCCTCTCGTGCCGGGTCAGCGCCGCTAACTCATCCATCTTATTTGGAAGAGATCTCACGTTCCCCATGATTACAGAGGGAAGGACCGGTTTGTAGCGTCTTCTCCTCGCACGGCGCTGAGTCTGGGATCTGGGGTCGCTCCCCCGGGAGCGCCGCTGTGCCACTCAGCGCTATCAGCTGATCCCTGGTGTAAACAAAGAGATCCCGCCGGGAGCACGCTGGATCCGCTCTCGCGTGTGAAATGTGCGAGAAAAACAACATAAAAAGAAGCGCAAACTTCACAAGTTTAATGTCCATGGTGTACAGACAGTGTGAAAAGTACTCAGGTTTACAAAGTACTATAAAAGAAAGGAAAATAAGAGAAAAAAGCTCACGGTGAGCAAGAGCTGCTGTAACAGGCTGCCACTCGCGCGGCACCGGAAGTTTGATGGTGAGTGTGAAAGAGTTTCATAGCAAATGTGAGAGAGGGTTGTGATTGTGAGTGTGAGAGAGTTTGATATTGAATGTGAGATAAGTGTGAGAGTTTGATAGTGAGTGTGAGAGGGTTTGATAATCAGTGTGAGAGAGTTTGATGGTGATTGTGAGAGTTTGATAGTGAATGTGAGAGGGTTTGATGGTGAGTGTGAAAGAGTTTGATAGTTAATATGAGAAAGTTTGATGGTGAGTGTGAGAGGGTTTGATAGTGAGTGTGAGAGGGTTTGATGGTGAGTGAGAGTTTGATGGTGAGTGTGAGAGTTTGGTATTGAATGTGAGATAAGTGTGAGAGTTTGATAGTGAGTGTGAAAGGGTTTGATAATGAGTGTGAGAGAGTTTGATGGTGACTGTGAGAGTCTGATAGTGAATGTGAGAGGGTTTGATAGTGAGTGTGAGAGAGGTTGATAGTGAATGTGAGAGGGTTTGATGGTGAGTGTGCAAGAGTTTGATAGTGAATATGAGAAAATTTGATGGTGAGTGTGAGAGAGTTTGATGGTGAGTGTGAGAGGGTTTGATAGTGAGTGTGAGAGACGTTGACAGTGAGTGTGAGAGGGTTTGATGGTGAGTGTGAAAGAGTTTCATAGCAAATGTGAGAGAGTTTGATGGTGAGTGTGAGAGAGTTTGATGGTGAGTGAGAGGGTTTGATAGTGAGTGTGAGAGGGTTTGATAGTGAGTAAGAGTTTGACGGTGAGTGTGAGAGAGTTTGATGGTGAGTGTGATAGTTTGATAGTGAGTGTGAGAGTTTGATGGTGAGTGTGAGAGTTTGATAGTGAGTGTGAGAGAGTTTGATAGTGAGTGTGAGAGTTTGATGTTGAGTGTGAGAGGGTTTGATAGTGAGTGTGAGAGGGTTTGATGGTGAGTGTGAGAGAGTTTGATGGTGACTGTGAGTTTGATAGTGAATGTGAGAGGGTTTGATGGTGAGTGTAAGAGAGTTTGATATTGAATGTGAGAGGGTTTGATGGTGAGTGTGAGTCTGATAGTGAATGTGAGAGGGTTTGATGGTGAGTGTGAGAGAGTTTGATATTGAATGTGAGAGGGTTTGATGGTGAGTGTGAGAGTTTGATAGTGAATATTTGAAAGTTTGATAGTGAGTGTGAGAGTTTGATGGTGACTGTGAGAGACTTTGATGGTGACTGAGAGACTTTGAGGGTGACTGTGAGAGACTTTGATGGGGAGTGTGAGAGGGTTTGATAGTGAGTGTGAAAGGGTTTGATATTGAATGTGAGAGAGTTTGATGGTGACCGAGTTTGATAGTGAATGTGAGAAGGTTTGATAGTGAGTGTGAGAGAGTTTGATATTGAATGTGAGAGGGTTTGATGGTGAGTGTGAGAGTTTGATAGTGAATATGAGAAAGTTTGATGGTGAGTGTGAGAGGGTTTGATGGTCAGTGTGAAAGAGTTTGATTGTGAATATGAGAAAGTTTGATGTTGAGTGTGAGACAGTTTGATGGTGACTGTGAGAGACTTTGAGGGTGACTGTGAGAGACTTTGATGGGGAGTGTAAGAGGGTTTGATAGTGAGTGTGAGAGGGTTTGATGGTGAGTGTGAAAGAGTTTGATGGTGACTGAGTTTGATAGTGAATGTGAGAGGGTTTGATGGTAAGTGTGAGAGAGTTTGATATTGAATGTGAGAGGGTTTGATGGTGAGTGTGAGTTTGATAGTGAGTGTGAGGAGGTTTGATGGTGAGTGTGAGGAGGTTTGATATTGAATGTGAGAGGGTTTGATGGTGAGTGTGAGAGTTTGATAGTGAATATTTGAACGTTTGATGGTGATTGTGAGAGGGTTTGATGGTCAGTGTGAAAGAGTTTGATTGTGAATATGAGAAAGTTTGATAGTGAGTGACAAGGTTTGATTGAGTGTGAGAGGGTTTGATAGTGAGTAAGAGAGTTTGACGGTGAGTGACAGAGTTTGATGGTGACTGTGAGAGACTTTGATGGTGACTGAGAGACTTTGAGGGTGACTGTGAGAGACTTTGATGGGGAGTGTGAGAGGGTTTGATAGTGAGTGTGAGTGGGTTTGATGCTGAATGTGAGAGAGTTTTATGGTGAGTGTGAGACTTTGATGGGGAGTGTAAGAGGCTTTGATAGTGAGTGTGAGAGGGTTTGATGGTGAGTGTGAGAGAGTTTGATGGTGAGTGTGAGAGGGTTTGATAGCGAATGTGAGAGTTTGATGGTGAGTGTGAGAGAGTTTGATAGTGAGTGTGAGAGTTTAATAGCGAGTGAGATGTTTGATAGTGAGTGTGAGAGGGTTTGATGGTGAGTGTGAGAGAGTTTGATAGTGAATGTAAGAGAGTTTGATTGTGAGTGTCAGGGGGTTTGATAATGAGTGTGAGAGGGTTTGATAGTGAGTGTGAGAGGGTTTGATGGTGAGTGTGAGAGAGTTTGATGGTGAGAGTGTTAGAGTTTGATAGCAAGTGTGAGAGGTTTGATAATGAGTGTGAGAGGGTTTGATGGTAAGTGTGAGAGAGTTTGATGGTGAGTGTGAGAGGGCGTGAGAGTGAGTGTGAGAAGGTTTGATGGTGAGTGTGAGAGGGGTTGATGGTGAGTGTGAGAGGGGTTGATAGTGAGTGTGAGAGGGTTTGATGGTGAGTGTGAGAGAGTTTGATGTTGAGTGTGAGAGAGTTTGATGGTGAGTGTGAGAGTTTGATGGTGAGTGTGAGAGGGTTTGATGGTGAGTGTGAGAGTTTGATGGTGAGTATGAGAGAGTTTGATGGTGAGTATGAGAGTTTGATGGTGAGTGTGAGAGAGTTTGATAGTGAGTGTGAGAGTTTGATGGTGAGTGTGAGAGGGTTTGATGGTGAGTATGAGAGAGTTTGATGGTGAGTATGAGAGTTTGATGGTGAGTGTGAGAGAGTTTGATAGTGAGTGTGAGAGTTTGATGATGAGTGTGAGAGGGTTTGATGGTGAGTGTGAGAGTTTGATGGTGAGTATGAGAGAGTTTGATATTGAATGTGAGATAAGTGTGAGAGAGTTTGATAGTGAGTGAAAGGGTTTGATAATGAGTGTGAGAGAGTTTGATGGTGAGTGTGAGAGTTTGATAGTGAATGTGAGAGGGTTTGATGGTGAGTGTGACAGAGTTTGATAGTGAATATGAGAAAGTTTGATGGTGAGTGTGAGAGAGTTTTATGGTGAGTGTGAGTTTGATAGTGAGCGTGAGAAAGTTTGATGTTGAGTGTGAGAGAGTTTGATAGTGAGTGTGAGGGGGTGTGAGTGTGAGAGGGTTTGATGGTGAGTGTGAGAGGGTTTGATGGTGAGTGTGAGAGAGTTTGACAATGAGTGTGAGAGGGTTTGATGGTGAGTGTGAAACAGCTTGATAGTGAATGTGAGAGATTTTGATGGTGAGTGTGAGAGAGTTTGATATTGAATGTGAGATGAGTGTGAGCGAGTTTGATAGCAAGTGTCAGAGGTTTGATAATGAGTGTGATGGTGAGTGTGAGAGTTTGATAATGAATGTGAGTGGGTGTGATAGTGTGAGAGGGTTTTATAGTGAGTGTGAGAGATTTTGATGGTGAGTGTGAGAGAGTTTGATAGTGAGTGTGAGAGGGTTTGATGGTGAGTGTGAAAGAGTTTGATAGCAAATATGAGAAAGTTTGATGGTGAGTATGAGAGAGTTTGATGGTGAGTGTGAAAGTTTGATGTTGAGTGTGAGAGGTTTGATAGTGAGTGTGAGAGAGTTTGATAGTGAGTGTGTGGGGGTTTGATAGTGAGTGTTAGAGGGTTTGATGTTGAGTGTGAGAGGGTTTGATAGTGAGTGTGAGAGAGTTTGACAATGAGTGTGAGAGGGTTTGATGGTGAGTGTGAGAGAGTTTGATGGTGAGTCTGAGAGAGTTTGATAGTGAGTGTGAGAGGGTTTGATAGTGAGTGTGAGGGGTTGTGATTGTGAGTGTGAGAGGGTTTGATGGTGAGTGTGAGAGAGTTTGATGGCAAGTGTGTGAGGTTTGATAATGAGTGTGATGGTGAGTGTGAGAGTTTGATAATGAATGTGAGTGGGTTTGATGGTGAGTGTGAAAGAGTTTGATGGCGAATATGAGAAAGTTTGATGGTGAGTGTAAGAGAGTTTGATGGTGAGTGTGAGAGTTTGATGTTGAGTGTGAGAGAGTTTTATGATGAGTGCGAGAGGGTTTGATGGTGAGTGTGAGAGGGTTTGATAGTTTTTGTAAGAGGTTAGTTAGAATTTTGGCCTAATCTGCCTCTCATAAATCCAGCTGCTATCCAACAGGTAATGAACAGTGACAGTTTAGTATTTGGAACACTTGCTAAAATGTTATAGTAAAATATCCTGCTTACTTCATAGTTTTGAAATAGTAAAACTAAATCAAACTTAAAGTTTGAGACCTGAGATTATTAGCAAAGAGATTAATGCATAATCTTTTGTGAAAAACCCCACAATGTTTATGCATTTCACTTTAATAGTTCTAAGCCTGTCAGTGCAATTTCTTTCTTTCTAGTGTTGGACTTTTATTTTTTCATTTTTCAGTTGTAGAGCAATATGATGACATTTGCATGAAATCTGAGAAAATTCACCATATGGGATTAAAAAAAACTGAGATTACAGACCTACGACCAAAGTTTCTACAAACTGTGCTGAATTTTGCTTTGATGTGCAATGACAATCAGCTACAGCACTTGGAGAACAAATTCAGTTACATCTTACAAAGTATCCAGAGAAGACACCTTCTGGATTCCGAATCAGATCAACCCAAAGAACTGAACGTAAGTAGTTAGATTTTGTATCTTCATTAAAGCTCTAATACTCATGCAAGTAATCACATTTTATCAGTAACTATTAATGATGCATTAAACTATTTATCGGTTGCATTTAAATTGAGAAGTAGAAGCCCCTCCGTGGGTATACTCCCACGGAGGGGCTACCCCTTTTTTCAGGTGTATGCAGGATCCAATTTAGCAACCCTGTCATTCAAGTTTCACAGTAATTAAAAAGAATTGAAAAATAAAAGATATGATCATATCAGAATCTTAATTTTCTGGCTCTTCTCCAACGAGGCACAAGTTTTGTAATTCCAAGTTGAACATGAAATAAAGTTGTGTGCAACTTGAAGTTTTCCTGCGAGATATACTGTATTTATTGTCACTGATCAGTCATCGGTCAGTGTTCAGCTTTGGTTGTTGCCTTTGAATTTGACCATGACTGCAGAGAACAAAAACTGCATATTCATCTAATCGAGAGTCATATCGTTCATCTTTATTTGTTGAGATTTTTTGTCATTTCTGTGGGACTCTTGCAGGACCCACCACGATACACTGTATTGCCAAGTATTCGCTCGTCTGCCTTCACACGCATATGAACTTGAGTGACATCCCATTCTTAATCCGTAGGGTTTAATATGATGTCGGCCCACCCTTTGCAGCTATAACAGCTTTAACTTTGGGGAAGGCTTTCCATAAGGTTTAGGAGTGTGTTTATGGGAATTTTTGACCATTCTTCCGGAAGCGCATTTGTGAGGTCAGACACTGATGTTGGACGAGAAGGCCTGGCTCGCTGTCTCCGCTCTAATTCATCCCAAAGGTGTTCTATTGTGTTGAGGTCAGGACTCTGTGCAGGCCAGTCAAGTTCTTCCACACCAAACTCGCTCATCCATGTCTTTATGGACCTTGCTTTATGCACTGGTGCGCAGTCATGTTGGAATAGGAAGGGGCCGTCCCCAAACTGTTCCCACAAAGTTGGGAGCATGAAATTGTCCAAAATCTCTTGTTCTGCTGAAGCATTAAGAGTTCCTTTCACTGGTACTAAGGGGACGAGCCCAACTCCTGAAAAACAACCCCACACCATAATCCCCCCTCCACCAAACTTTACACTTGGCACAATGCAGTCAGACAAGTACCGTTCTCCTGGCAACCGCCAAACCCAGACTCGTCCATCAGATTGCTAGACAGAGAAGCATGATTTGTCACTCCAGGGAACACATCTCCACTGCTCTAGAGTCCAGTGGCGGCGCTTTACACCACTGCATTCGACGCTTTGCATTGCGCTTGGTGATGTAAGGCTTGGATGCAGCTGCTCAGCCATGGAAACCCATTCCGTGAAGCTCTCTGTGCTGTTCTTGAGCTAATCTGAAGGCCACATGAAGTTTGGAGGTCTGTAGCTATTCACTCTGCAGAAAGTTGGCGACCTCTGTGCACTATGTGCCTCAGCATCCGCTCTGTCATTTTACGTGGCTGACCACTTCATGGCTGAGTCGCTTCCACTTTGTTATAATATCACTGCCAGTTGACTGTGGAATATTTAGTAGTGAGAAAATTTCACGACTGGACTCACGGTACCACGCTGGAATTCACTGAGCTCCTGAGAGCGACCCATTCTTTCACAAATGTTTGTAGAAGCAGTTTGCATGCCTGAGTGCTTGGGTTTATACACCTGTGGCCATGGAAGTGATTGGAACACCTGAATTCAATGATTTGGATGGGTGAGTGAATACTTTTGGCAATATAGTGTTTCTTGCAGTGCACGGCTAATTTTCAGTGTCATGGTAGGAGCGTCCATTTAACCAGCCCAGTGTGGGTGGGAGCGAGACAACACATACATGTAGAGAAATGGTGCAGATTTTCTGCAGGTGCAAGATGAAATCTTGCAGGACCAGGACTGTCCTGTGCAGACCTCTACTCTAGATTTCACTGATTAAACTAATATTATACTATCTAGATAGCAGGTAATATATAGCAGTAGTGTAGGAGAGAAATGAAAACATCAAAACATGTTATTTTATGTTGCCAATGCTAAAGTTCGTAATTATGTGTAACTTTGCTTTGTGAATGAAGACAATCATTTGCACAGATCTTACACCCCTGCTGAGATAGGAAGTAGATATTAGTGACAGCCAAATGTTACACAGTCTGAAAGAAGGTGTTTACAAAGAGTATATACACCTTCTTTAACAAATGGTGACAATCACCAGTCCATTCACCCCATTAAATATTTATTGTACAAAATCATTGTATTTACATTACGCAGATGTGTGTTGATGTAGACTTTTATAGTACTATGTGTGTCTCATGCTCACAAACTCTTCTGATGCCTCACATATGTGACATTTCCTGTGCCAGAAAACTAACTTTAATTTCGTGTTTAATTTCATGTTACCGTTACAGATGGCAGAGATCTCCCACCATCTCACAGAGCCACTAAAGGATGTTATAGAGTCTTTCAAAGTCAGCCATCCAATTTCCTATCTTCTAGCAACTCTGTTCTTTGTGAAACACAAAAACATGGATTTAGAACAGAGCTCAATTGAAAAGCTCTTGCAGTATGCAAAACACCAAGCTAAACTGGAGACAACAATACCAGACCTTACAGACTCCATGAGAAGGTTTGTATTAATAAATTTAAAAAGTTTCCTTTCCCTTCAAGTGGCTTATGAATTTATTTATATTACAGTTATGGACCAAATATAACAAAATATAATTTAATTAATATACAGAATACAGGGCATTTTGAACTGGAGCACATAGTGACTCAAAATGTAATAATGTAATAACTGCACATAATAAAACAATTCATGATGTAATAAGGCGAAAAAAACTCAATGTAATAAACTGTCTATAATGTATTAAAATTCTCATCCAATAATGCAATAACATTTCTGTGCATAATGTAGTAAAGGATTACATTAAACACTCACCAAGCACTTTATTATGACCACCTCCTTGTTTCTACGCTCATTGTCCATTTTATCAGCTCCACTTACCAGATAAGTACACTTTGTATTTCTACAATTACAGACTGTAGTCCATCTGTTTCTCTGCATACTTTGTTAGTGCTGCTGAAGTTTATGTGTGATCCACTCATGCCAGCGCAACACACACTAACACACAACCACCACATCAGTGTTACTGCAGTGCTGAGAATGATCCACCACCCAAATAGTACCTGTTCTGTGGTGGTCCTGTGGTGGTCCTGACCACTGAAGAACAGGGTAAAAGGGGGCTCACAAAGTATGCAGAGAAACAGATGGACTACAGTCTGTAACTGTAGAACTACAAAGTGCACCTCTATAGTAAGGGGAGCTGATAAAATGGACAATGAGTGTAGAAAGAGGTGTTCTTAATAAATACATGCACATTACATTATAAATTGAAGTAGCAAATAATTTAATAGCACAAAGAATCATTTGTTTTCTAGTTCACTTAACTACATTTTTAAAATTAAAATGATAAATCACCTTTTTCAGAACACTCTGTAGCTTATTTTACCATAAACTACTAATCAGAATAAAATAATTTTGTAGCATGCCCTAAAGCAAGCTTTTCTACATTTAGGGGCCTAGATTTCTATTCACAATTCCTCTCTGCAGAACTATTGCTGTGGATGTTCATAATGTGTGTTGTGTCCTGGTGGGGTTAAAACCATTAATTACAAGTTGAAATGTAGTCGGATTATTAAAATTCCTAAATGCTTTCAAGTTATTACATTGATCTTATAAATTATAATGTACACCTTAAAAAAGTAATTAAATATGATACGGACATGGGTTTGAAAAAAGTGACAATACTCCTGCCTCCTGCCTACAAAATGATTATCTTGAGATAATTGTCTCAAGATAATTTTCTTTGGATAATTATCTCAAGATATACATAGATTTGATCTCAAGATCTATATAGATTTACAGGGAAAACTTTACCCACCCTTCCCTGTAGATGGCACCAATATGCCATTTGGGCAGCTTTCCTTTCACTCCCTGTGGCGATAGTCCATTTTTCAGGGGTGCTGGAAGTTGTGTATTCATTACTGAAAGTATTCTTATGGAAATATGAATATGATGTTTTATAGCACTTTATTTTGAACCTGGTTTCACATACAAAGACATTGTTTCTGTGTTTGATTATATTATATCACAGCACCATTTGAAATGTGTTTTAAAACACAACACAGTGTTGCAGAGGAAGGGTACACAAATACATGTGAGGTATTGTTTTTATTTTTATTTATTTATTTATTTATTTATTTATTTATTTTTGGTTTTATTTCAATGGCTACAGGTGATGCATGCAAAGTGTTCAGAAAAAAAGCAGATGTCTAGAAACGTATTCCGAGAAAATTTTCCCAAGATGATTATCTCAATATAATTTCACTTGAGAAAAAAGTCTCAGGTCAATTTGCAGGCAGGAGGTTTCTTTTTTTAACCTTTTTTCCCATGTCCTTTGGCTTCATAATTAAAACATGACTTAAATCAGATAAAACAAAATCTGATTATTATAACAAGCTATTTAGTGTGTTATTATATCATGTGCTGACATTAAATTATTAAAAACATATTGCTGCTCTGTTTATAATGTAATAAAAAAATGTAATACCTTACTACAGTATGGGGAAAAATGTAATTACATTATTGGATGAGGATTTTATTACATTATCAACAGTTTATTACATTATGAGTTGCTTAGTTATCACATTATGTACAGTTATTACATTATGAGTTGCTGCAGAGCACTGAGAACAGTTATTGTTTGTAACTTGCAGTAGTTTATGAAAGACCCTGTGGCACTGTAAGAGCTTTTTTGTTTATTTTCACTTAATGAAAACTTGCAGCTTAACTCTGTTCTTGTACGATGCATATTGTGCATGATGGTAAAAAACTTTTTTGGTTTGTTCATTTTTTTCAGGGAAATCTGTATTAAGCTCGGACAATTTCTTAGAGCATATGCAGGACATTTGTCTGATGCAGTATGGCTTTTGGGATTGTTTTATAAGGTTCTGTCTCCTGCCAGCAGCCCTGTTGAGGGTGTTCAGCTTCCAGACTCACGTGCCTTTAAATGGATGCAAAATGACGCACAATGTCAAAAGTAAATAAACACTAAGTGAAGTCATACATTTAAAATGTTTATAAATGTGTTATATTGGGGGAAATGGGGGGAAAGCGCTTCCTCAAGAACAATGTTCATTTACTGTTATGTTTAGTTATATTTTTGTGTTTGTTTAACTTGAACAGGATTAAAAAACCCAAAACATCATAGATTTAAATGAAATAAACTGGAACAACAGACAGTTTTGTTTTCTTAGCACAAAATATAAAACTTTAAAAGAGCAATATAACCACACTGTCATGACACGAAGCCCCGTGCTGAATACTGCTTCAATTTGGCAGGTGTGTTTTACAGAATGTATCATTTACATGTCACATACTTTCTTTTTCAAATAATCTATTATTAATACAAAGATTATTATATTTTAAAATTAAATGGAGTCCTCTATCAATTTATGTTTTAAAGATTCCACTTGACAAAAACAAGTAAATGGAAAAAGGAAAAAAAAATCAATTCTGTTAATTAATTATTCTTATATTTAATTCATAGTTATTGTCAATAATATTTACAGCATTTTGACAGATGCTCTTATCCAGAGCAATAATTTGGTCATTACACACAGATAGGTGAAGATAGTGTTAGGAGTCTTGCCCAAGGACTCTTATTGGTACAGTGTAGGGGGCTTGCCCAGGCAGGGATTGAACCCCAGTCTACAGTGCAGAAGGCAGAGCTGTTACCCACAACACTATACCAAACACATTATTGTGATTGTATTAACTGCACAACATGTATATTTACTTTATAGCATTAATAATAATAATAATAATAATAATAATTATTATTATTATTATTATTAGTAGTAGTAGTAGTAGTAGTAGCAGCAGCAGAATGGTATTAATAATATCAATAACATTTTAAACAAAGGAATAGCAAACAAAGCAAATTAATAGCAATGCTAGATAGGCAGCCCACTACAGTCACACATTTGTGTTTATAATGAAAATCTAACTAAATAATATTTTTGGAGTAGCACTGTAGACCTATTGCCTTCTCACCTCGAATTTTCCAGGTCAAAATTTTTTCCATGCCAGTAAATCTCCAGAATGCAGTGATCCAGAAGTTTCAGAAATTATCCAGAAAAGTTTCAGAATGAATTAGGCCATAGCTGTTTGGTAAATGTGTTAGATTTGGTAAATCTCCTAGATTAATTTGATCAGCAGAGAAATAAATAAAAGACTGTTAGGTACACCTGTATATAAAGGTATGTAAAGTTTAGTTGCTGGTGGACCAAACATTGCGATTTTGACTAGTGTCAGATATGGTAGTGCCAATATCTTATGCAATATGTTACATATACTCTTTTTATAGGGAACTTCGTGAAATGGTAAAGCATCACGAACAGCAGCTTCAACAGCATCGTCACTTTGCTCAATATGTGCTCTGTGACATGTTTTCTGTGGAACTAGGACACCATGATGTATTAAAATATTTGGGGTTTGAACCTTTACAATTCCTTTGTGAGCTTCACTGTTGGCTTCAGGAACATCCCCACATTGTAAGTATTGATATTACATATTGCAAAGCTGTAATGTGCTTTGATGGTTAAGATTATATTGTGCTGACTTCATTACTTGTTAGGTGGCCTCAGAGAAGCTGGCTGACATCATTGGAACTATTGCAGACATTACCAAGAAGTGGTTTCAGTCAAGGTAATTGCTTAATGTTAGAGATTAATATGAAAATGAAACAAATATTTGGGCTCTTGAGTAGTTCCACCAGCTAAAGCACTGGTTCTATAAACTTGGTTTATAGCTGGTTCTACAAAACTCTAAAGGTATGACAATATATAATTTTATCTTTAACTATAATTTTTCTTCATGCTTTGCAACTATTTAAACAGACCTCTTGCTGTCTAACCATCCAATGCCTACTTCATTCAATTGCAGTGAAAGTTTGTATCAGTCTGTCATATAAACGTGTATGCGTGTGCATGTGTGTGTACTCTTCCTATTTACTTCCAATTCCTGTATTAATTACTAAAACAACATATTTTTTTAGGCAACCTGATAAAATCTCACATGAACACGTATTAGGTTGTGTCAGTATGGCACTGAAGATCATTAAAGGAATGCAGCTGGAAAAACAAGGCCGACAACTTCCCAAAAACATGATCTCATCGTTGAGACTTCTGAATTCTTTTTCGAAAGTCTTGGAACCGTTGAAAGAAAATAAGGTCTGTAATTTTTTTTTTTTTTCTGAGCCCATTTCTGAATAACGGTTATCCTCTTGAAATGTAAAGCTTTATGTATTTTAATCTTGTGTCATATTAATTCAATGGATTATTTCATTACTAACTCAACTAAAGCTGTGGACTTTCATGAAAAAAAAAAAAAAATTAAGCAGCTATGCATATTTTCTCTAAATTGCTTCAAATAGTTTATTTGCTATGTTATATACTAAATTGTGTAACTAAACATTGAATTTAACTGCTTGCTGAATAATAACATCGAGCCAAAACTTCTATTGTGTATAAATTAGTGTGTGTCCGGGGGCTTCCAGAGCCTTTGGTGATCTTTTGCTCAAACGTGTCACAACTATTATAAATAAAAATGCTATATAATCAGCACTAGACAGAAAGTAAGTCATGGGAAAGCATTGCTGCCACATCACAGATGATAGCAAAAGCCACACATGTCCTGAATGCTACTCTGTTTCAAAGTAATATGTAATCACTCAATGTTGACATTTTCTCTAAAATCAGCTCATCATCCTTGTAGTCAGAGACCTGAAGATCATATCCTACAGTGAGCAAAAAGGCTTTCTTCATCTTGCCCAGTGGACGTTCTCAGTTTTATTTTTATGTGTTGCATTGTTCACAGGTCACAGTGTTGATTTTTTCTTGTGCTACCACAGAGCATTTTAAACTGTTTCTGTTTCTGGCAGAGTTTGTATGGTCATCTTATTTGGAGAGATACCTGTTCTGGGGAAGAAGGGTGGGAATTTCATAAACTTTATCTGCTTTACTACTAACTACAACTAAGTAATGCAATTATTAACATGAACAACTCATAAGGTCCATCATTAACAATTGGTAACTACTATTAAGCAAACAAGTAACAACTGTATTAAGTAATATTGTATTAATTTCTTTGTCCATATATTATGTATATAAACTATCATAGAATAAGTAATGTAGTTCAAATGCAGTTCAAATCTGCCTCTGGCTGACTTTGGAAGTTTCAAGTTTTAAAGAGTGTTTTCAGTTTTCAGTTCTCTCTTCCATCCTGTCCCATTAGTTTGGGCCAGTCTCCATGTTGTGGAAATATTTCTTTTCTTGAGTTCAGCTCTGTCCTTGAGATTGTTTCTGTCCCCTGTGGGTGGTGTTTCTTGTTGCACATTGGTTTCTAGTAGTAGAGGCCTAGGTTTGATTATCATTAGTATCTTATATTAACTTAGAATTACTGTTTTATTGTTTTTGATGTTAATTCACACTAACTTCAAGTGTGTTATACAGTCTCAGCCTTATATTACTACTTACCCTCTGATAGGGTGATTAATGCTAGCCTACCTATGAATTTAATGCTGGTACAATTTTCATAATATAATAAAGTAATAATTAAATTTTATTTGATAAGCACCTTTCTGATAAGATACAGTTTTATTTCCAAAAAAGTTGGGATGCTGTAAAAAATTTTAATAAAAACAAAATGCAATGATGTGCAGATCATTTAAACCATATAATTAACTGAAACAGTACAAATACAAAATATTAAATGTTGACATTTTATTGTTTTTTGAAAAATATGTGCCTATTTTTAAATCTGATGTCAGCAACACACTGCAAAAAAGTTGGGACAGGGCAGGTTCACCACTGGGTTGCACCATGTCTTCTTTTAACAACACTCCGTAAGCATTTGGGAACTAAAACAGACTGGTTGCTGTAGTTTTGTGTTACGACCCCACATTTTGTCTAGGGTATGTGGGATCGGTAACATGTGGCATTAAAATACTGAACTGGTGAGAATTGATTAGAAGCGTGAGGAACAGACCAAACTAGAGCGTTTAAAGCCATTTTTATTAAAACAAACGTCAAGAAAACCAGAGTGCTGTGATACCTAGTACCACACTGGAAGAATCAAACTGGACGGCACCAAAGAAAAGAACATATCAAAACCGAACCACGCTTGCCCACTCTGAAACCAAAAGTATTTAGCTAATCTAAAAAAAAAAGGAAACCAAAGCTAACTACTCTAAACTTCCCTTGCCAGTAACCAAAAGTACATGTGGCGGTGCCCACCCTCTGACCTAGGGAGCTAGACAGAGTAGACATCTACATGGTGCAAATGTATAGGCGCGCCCCTCTTACTTGTTTGAAACCCCAGGTGGTACAAACAATCTCTTGTAAAACAAAGTTAAAAGCGTGCAGGTAAAATACCACAGCTGAAGTACTTCCTCTAACATAAAAGACCGTCTTACAAACTAAGTTAAAAGAAGCACTGGTAAAATACCTAAAACAAAGCACACCCCCAACACAAGAGATTAAAACACAAACTAAAACAGCACACGTAATCAGTCCTCTCTCTTCAGCCATCTTGAAGGCCTCTTTTAAAACATAAGCTCCTCCCCTAACTGCACCAGTCAGGCCTCTGATTGGTTCCAGAGCAGGTACCTCTATGAAGGAAGAGACCAAGAGAGAGGGAGAGAGACACAGACACAAAAAAAAACAGAATACGTGCTTACACGTAACATTTTGTAAGTGAAATAATTTCTCATTTTTGCTTGATATAGGATTTCACTTGCTCAACAATTCGGGGTTTCTTTTCTCATATTTTTTTTGATAATGTGTGAAATGTTTTAAATGGGTGACAGGTCTGGAGCGCACGCAGGCCAGTTTAGCACTCTTTTACTACAGAGATATGCTGTTATAATACTTGCAGAAAGTGGTTTGGCATTGTCTTGATGAAATAAGCAAGTTGTTCCCTGAAAAAAGACATTGGGCCTCATTCGCCAACCGTTTTTAAGAAGAAATGTCTTCTTAAAACCCACTGATTCAGTTTTACTAACTACAAAGATTCTGATATTCGCCAATGTTTTCTTATTTGGAATTTATTCTAAGGTAAGAACAGAATCTACACACACTAGAAGGCACAAAGGTTTTTACAATTATAAAATTTAATAACTATGAATGAATCTGACATGAATCTGTTCTTGACATCTTTCTCAAGAACAAATTTTAGAAAAAACTTAGGAAGATATTGCCGAATGAGGCCCATTGTCTGGATGGCAGCATATGTTGCTCCAAAATCTGTACGTTGTTCAGCATCAATGGTGCCTTCACAGATATGTAAGTCATCCATGCCATGTGCACTAATGCACCTCTATACCATCACGAATGCTGGCTTTTGAACTGTTTGCTGATAACAAGCCAGATGGTTCTTCTCCTCTTTAGCCTGGAGGATACAACGTTCATGATTTCCAAAAAGAATTTCAAATTTTCATTCGTTGGACCACAGGACACCTTTCAACTTTGCCATCTTAAATGAGCTTGGGCTTGAGCTTTTGGGAAATGTTCCTGAACCCATGCAGCACAGTCTGTTTTTAATGCTGTGCCACCTGAGGGCCTGAAGATCAGGGCCAGCCTATACTGGTTTCTGGCCAATCTTTTAATGATATTTGATGGTAGATGATAAAATCCCCAGGTTCTTTGCCATTTTACAGTAAGAAATGATATTCTTGAATTGTTGCGCTATTTCCCCACACAGTCTTTCAATGGAGTGGTGAACCACCTACCCCTCTCTAGTTCTGAAAGATTCATCCTCTTCTGGGACTCTCTTTATATACTCAGTCATATTAATTTTGCTGCCCCTGTCCCAACATTTTTGAAATGTGTTGCTGCTTTCAAATTCAAAATGGGCATATGTTAGTTTCAACATTTGATATTTTGTCTTTGTACTATTATTAATTAAATACAGGGTTTAATTAATTTGCACATATTGCATTCTTTTTTTATTTACATTTTTCACAGTGTCCCAACATTTTTGGAAACGAGGTTCTTAGATATTATGCACAAAAAAGGAATAACAATATAAGTTGGTATAAGAATGAAAAATAAGAAAACAATCTCAAATCGCTCCCCATTTCTTATATAGTGCACTACGTAAATCATAAAACTATGTCTTCTACAACCAAAAAGTGCAGTAAATGTTAAGTCATGCAGCCAATGGATAAAAATAAATGCCTTTTTATTAGACATATAATGCACTGTACTGGTGCAGAAGCTGCCATTTAATGAATTTAGTAGTGCATTCCTTAGAGAGTAACAAGCCATTTAAGTTTATCAAATAGGTAATAAAGTTCAATAAAGTGACTTGAAGTCATAGAATACTGGTCTGCAAATCAATTATTAAACAAGTTACGGAGTTTCTAAGAAATCAATCAATATCCACATTAATGAAAAACAAACTCATAGGCCTTTCAAAAATTCTACAGTTAAAATCCCTGACAATCAGACAATCAAGCTAAATGTCTCAGCTGCTGCAGATTGATATAAACCATTTGCCAAGCCACCAGGGCCAGCTCTAGCCTTTTGAGTGACCCTAAGCAGGATGTTTTTGGGGGCCCCCATCTTGCTAGCTGATGTATGGTAGAATTAGAGGCTAACTAATGACAAGCAGTCTAGTTTATATAAATTTGCAAATACATATGCATTCTTACATCTCAACATTCTCAAGGACTCTGTCTCATGATGCAGTATTTCTTGCTTACAGCTAATTTTAAGATTAGTTGGATCTAGTCCTGGATCTAGCAGTTGTGACAGCATTGCTTTTTCACTGTTATAAAGCTTTATGCTCTACATATTTAGATTACATGTAGAAACTTTTTAATCTGTGTATCTAAACCTGGATTAATAACTGCCTGACAGAGGTGTAAGTAACATTTACTTTCGTTACTGTAATTGAGTACAGTTTTCCCCGTAACGGTACTTTTTGGAGTAGAATTAAATCATAGTACTTTTACTCTTATTTGAGTTCATTTTTAATGAAATACTTTTACTTTACTGCTTTAATGTCCAGGATGTGAGCGTTCAGCTATTATTTTGCTGGCACACTTCATCACCCTGCTGTTGTAGACGTCCTGAAGCATTGGCAGATAAAATCAGACGATCCCCTCCACTGTCCTAATAATGCACTGGAATTTGGCTCATTCTTGTGAGGTGAAGGAACCAAACCAGAT